ACCTGCCGCAGGTGGTCTGATCAACGGCATCTACGAGGCTTACGGGGAGACGATTGCTGGACGCGCCCTTAGTATCATCGGTCGGCTGCTTACCAAGATGCTTCACATGCGCGCCTTCTCCTGTGGTGTTCAGGATCTGATTCTCACAGAGGAAGGAGACCGCGCTAGATTGGAAGAACTCCGAAAGGCAGAGAAGATTGGGTTCGAGGTGGCCTCCAAGTACGTCACTATGGATGCGGAAAAGATTGACCCTACCAACCCAGAGTTACGGCGACGCCTTGAAGCTGTCCTGCGAGACGATACCAAGCAACACGGTCTCGATCTGCTTACAAACACTGCCAACGGCAAGATCTCCTCCACGGTCACCGCAGCCTGTTTGCCTGACAAGCTCATCAAGCCATTCCCGAAGAACCAAATGCAAGCCATGACAGGTTCTGGAGCCAAGGGTAGTATGGTCAACGCCAACCAGATTTCATGTAATCTCGGTCAGCAAGTCTTGGAAGGTCGAAGAGTTCCAGTCATGATTTCTGGTAAAACGCTGCCATGCTTCAAGCCCTTCGAGACAAGTGTTCGTGCTGGTGGCTACATTGTCAATCGTTTCTTGACTGGTATCCGACCGCAAGAGTACTACTTCCATATGATGGCTGGTCGAGAAGGTCTCATTGATACCGCTGTCAAGACTTCGCGCTCTGGTTACTTGCAACGATGTATTATCAAGGGTATGGAAGGTCTCAAGGTCGAATACGACACTTCAGTCCGCGACTCCGACGGTACCATGGTCCAGTTCCTGTACGGTGAAGATGGTCTCGACACGACAAAGCAGAAGTACCTCAACGACTTCAAGTTCCAGGCGGAGAACTTCTACTCGCTAGCCCAAGCGCTCCACACCGCGGAAGCCTACCCGAAGGTCTCTAGTACTGAAGCAGCTGAGCACAACAAGAAGGCTGCGAAGAAGGCCAGGAAGGGTGATGTGGCAGCAATGGATCCTGCCACTGCAGTTTACACGCCATCACGGCATAGTGGCAGTACCTCTGAGAAGTTTTTGCAGGCTAAGCGCGACGTAAGTTCCTTGAATTCGTGTCGTTACAATTTACTAACTATCACAGTACTGTGACCAAAACCCCGACAAGCTGCTCAAGAACAAGAAGAAAGACGAAGAGGGTGAGATTCTCAAGCGTACTTTCGAGCAGATGCTTGATCTCAAGTACCTCAGATCTCTTGTTGAACCTGGCGAAGCTGTTGGTGTCGTCGCTGGGCAGTCTATTGGTGAGCCCTCCACACAGATGACGTTGAACACTTTCCATTTGGCTGGTCACTCTGCCAAGAACGTCACACTCGGTATCCCACGTCTACGAGAAATCGTCATGACTGCTAGTGCGAATATTTCCACCCCATCTATGCAGCTGTATCCTCACCCCGAGTTGTCCAAGGAAGACAACGAGAAGTTTGCCAAGAGTATCACTCGTCTGCCACTCTCGGCTGTGCTCGACAAGGTCACTGTCACTGAGACATCTGGCCCTGGTGAACAATTCGGCCAATCCAGGAGCTACAAGATTCGCCTGGACTTCTACCCAGCAAAGGAATACACTAAAGAGTATGCCATCAAGGTTCGCGACGTCGCCGAGTCCATCGAACAAAAGTTCTGTCCACGTCTCCAGAAGATCGTTCGTGTCGATCTTAAGAAGAAGGCTGCAGAAAAGTCCTTGTCAACAGCGAAGTCGGCTGCTATCCCTACTATCGGTGAGAAGACTGGTAGGAGTGGAGAGCAGACAGTCGAAGAGTCCGAGGAGACCATCCGGGCTGGTCGGGAAGGCGGAGCGGAAGACGATGACAGTGATGACGGCGAGGGTGACAACGATACTACTCATGCCAAGGATCGCGGCCGACGGGAGGACAGTGTAGCTTACGAAGAGCCGGAAGAGGAGGAACAGGCTGTCAACGATAGGCTTGACCGAGAAGACGAGGTCAGCGAAGACGATGAGACCTACGGTGGCAGCCCCAAGCCCTCGCGTGCGGTTACCCCTGACCCCAACTCCGACGATGAGGATGAACGTATGCTCGTCCCCACCGACGAGTCCTCAGAAATCCGCCACGACCGTATCTGCCACAAGAACAGTGACATTTTTGACTTCAAGTTCGATGACCGCAAAGGAGCTTTCTGCGAGATTACTTTTGAATTCTCCGCATCTACACCGAAGCTTCTCATGCTGCACCATGTGGAAGACGCTGCCAATTTCGCCACTATCCACGTCATTCCCGGTATCACTGCCGCCCAATTTTCAGCCAAGTCAAAGGACAACCCTGAGGATGTCATCAATACCGAAGGCTCCAACCTCATTGCCATGCGCGAGTACGCACACATCATCGATGTAAACCGTACTACAACCAACGACATTGTGGCTATGTTGCATCTCTACGGTGTCGAGGCCGCTCGTGCGACGATCGTCCGCGAGATGCACGGCGTCTTCTCTGGTCACGGTATCTCCGTCGACCAACGCCATCTCAACCTCATCGCCGATACCATGACTAAGGGCGGTGGTTTCACACCATTCAACCGTATCGGTATGAAGGGTAACGTGAGTCCTTTCATGAAGATGAGTTTCGAAACCACCGTTGGTTTCCTCAAGGACGCTGTCATGGAGCGCGACTGGGATGAGCTCAAGAACCCCAGTGCACGTATTGTCGTTGGTAGATTGGGTGGTATCGGTACGGGTGCGTTTGACGTACTCGCACCGGTCAAGATTAGGGATCCGTTGAAGGACGTTGCTGAGGAGGTCAATGACGTCGTGCTCAACGATGTTCGTGAGAAGCGTGATTCCGATTCGGAGTCTGAAGAGGAAGAAGAAGAGGACGAGGATGTCGACGGCGATATTCAGATGAACGACGTGGAGATGGAGGATGTCGATGCTGCTGAAGAGGAAGAGGTTGTTCAACAATCACCCAAGAAGAAGGACAAGAAGAGTAAGAAGCACAGGCGGAGTAGCGATTAGGCGCCGTTGTTTTCGTTTGCTTGTACGTTACATTAAGAGGTGTTTCTGGGCATGGTACGGGCGTTTGACAAAAGGCGGGATAATATTGATGTAGTTTAGCATGTCGACAATGTGAAATGGCAAAAGTGTTCCAATTCGAAGGTCCTTTGATAGCGATGATGGTGTCCGAGTTGAATTCGAAATTAGCATCTCAGAGCCTGCTGGGACGGTCACCGACACTCATGACCGAGATGGTACTAGCTATGCTGTAGCAAAGATCGATACCTGCTACTGCTTTAGGTATGGGTCGTCATTATCGTGATCTTTTACGTCGTATAGATCGGCAGCCCGCCTCCCGCAAATCTGGGAATACGCATGTCGGAACTGGTATCTGCATTTCGTCTTCGTATAGCCCGTAGTTGAGTAAGGTTTCTACATCGGACATGTAAGAACACATCATCATTCACTGTACAAAGAGGGCCATTGTTCAAAATGTACAGCCGATTACTCTCGGTTCTGAAAGGCAGGATAAGATGGCATGTCGAGGTGCTCGACGACCCTAGTACCCACTGTATGACCTCGTAGCAACATGTCTACATGCTTGTATCGTACCACTCGCTGACGGATAGCTGCCGTCTTGCGCAACCGTCATTGCGGCCTTCTCCTTATCCACAAGAACGCATGTCGTCGAACTAGCCTCAACAAACGACAGCGATCATCGATGAACCGTCCTCGCTTAAGCTGTCGATCCGCCACAGCGCATAAGCACGTGAAAGCTGCCGTTGTGGTGAAAGTGGCGGGCGTGGGCCTTGTTTATCGCATCCTTCCCGGCAGTCCGGCCTCGTCAAGAAGGAATGCCGATTATCGAGGTTTGGAGGCAGGTGCATGCCGCGGTTGCATTGAGGCTCGGTAGCAGCTGATCGTGAGTATCGTCACTCGTGATAGCCAAGCCATTGAAGAAATAATGAGAGGAGACTTGTTTGCGAGCTTGAGCCGCAAGGCGTGACATGCAAAGCTCCGCTATGGCGCGATGAGTAAGCTCGCGCAACATGTGCGAAAAACACGATTCGTGCACTAGCAGTACGCCAAACCTCGTCATCCACTTTCACATGCGATAGTTCAGCCCTCGAAGTTTCGATGCTATTTCAGGACCTAGAACGGCCTCAACACGTCCCACTACCTGCTGCATTGATGTCAATACGCCCGCCGTCCTGCACTCCTGCTGATGCACAAGAGGAGTACTTGTGCGGCACGCATGACGGAACCAGTCCCCGAGGCCGCTCAATGGCAACGAGGGGGTTGTCGACGTGATAAGGGTTCCCCAATTGAGGGGCGCAATCCCTAGCTGTAATGCACTGTTGCCAATCGATCTACGGTCGTTTCTCAGCGAGGAATTGGAGCTCACCCGATAGCTGACGCGCGAGCGGAGGCGACGCACGGTATGACCAGGACGCGATAGGATACAAAGGGGAAGCCGGCACTCCGGTGTATACAGGGCAGCCGAGTGGTTTGAGTATCTCGCCAACGAGAGAGCACGTGGCTGATCTTATCTGATGTCGCTGAGTTGTGACTGGCCAAAGCGTCGCTTCTTTCACATGCCAGGCGCAAGCTGTACGCCCTGCATCCCAACTCCTCAACGCTCTACATGCGCCAGATAGAGTTCGAGACGCGGGGCACATGAAAAAAGCATATTGCGGCGTGTTTGTGTAGCGTCAGGCTTGCATCGACTCCGCACGCTGGATCTCAACGTTCGAAATGAGAAGCGACGCGAGAAGTCAACTTGGGTAGTGACGTTTTGGTAGGCCCCAGTGTAGATTGACATAGCGCTTGTCGATAGCCACTTTCACATGCCACTGCATCTTATTCACCCCAGCCCACTGAACCACACCGTTTTCAGCAAAGCCTCCCAACCAAAGACAGTCACATCATAGCGCACCGTCGTATAATAAGGTCGACCGAAACCCGTTCTCTCTCTACGTTACTGTTACTCCTCCACTGCCTCCCTGCTCAACAATCATTCAGCATCCACTACAGTAGACTGCAACACTGCATATTTGCTACTGCAATTAATGGCACCGCACGCTACTGACGACGGCAACAACATGAGCTCTGAAGCGCCTATGACCAATGGCGAGACGCCCACCTCCAAGGCTCTATCGGTACGTACTGTTCACTTTCCTACACGCTCATTGGCGGTCTCTGCCTCTTAGTGGCCACAATGGAAAGCGTACCACTTGGCGTTTCTGCGCTATTTGACATCAATCGTGAACGATTGCGAAGTCTGGACGACTTTGGGACCGCAATCTATTTGGGTCAGCAATATGGCGCACGAATCCCACGATGCAGATGCGGAGCTTACGGCCCAGCCAATCAACCTGCCATGCTCGGAGCCTTCTTACAGCATGAACTTTATTTGGCAGAAGCTATCCGAAAGCAACCGCATCTTGGACTTTGACCTTTAGAGTATAACAGTGAGCTAATGAATATCAGCATCTGCACTCCTACCCTGTAGTTCACGACAGTGTTGAGACCTTCAAGTCCAACCCCTATGGTTCGCGCGCCTTGAACCTCGCCAACAACACCTACCAGTCCATCGTCGCACCCTTTCACCCATACTTGCGCACACCCTACTCCTACATCTCACCCTACCTGGCACGCGCCGACCAGCTCGGGGACTCTGGCCTATCCACTCTAGAGACACACCTACCCATTGTCAAGGAAGACACTTCAAAACTGAAAGAATATGCTTTCTCGCCCGTCACATACGTGCAAGGTACCTGGCAAGACGAATACAACAAGACGCATTACAACAACGGCGTTGTCAAGATGGGTGTTGCGACAGTCAGCTTCGAGCTCAGGATGTTGAGCGATGCGTGTGACGTTGTGTTGAATTACCTGAACAAGGGAAAGGAGCAGACGAAGAAGAAGGTTGACGAGGTCAAGCAGTAGAGTAAGGCGCTAATGTGCAAAGTCTGGCAGTGTGTTTGTACGATGAGAGACAATTGGAAAAGCAAGGGCAAAGGGGCGTCCATCAGTGTGGCCTTGTTGACGTAACGTGGAGTAACTTTCTTGCGTCCGTTTGCGCACCTTTCCTTAGAAGATAGACCGATTAATAAATGATATCCCTTCTGTTCAATTGTTGTTCTTCGTACAGAGGCTTTATGTGAAATGTTTGGGTCGTTTGGACTGCAGCCACTTGGTTAATGGCTCGGTACATCGGTCCGGTCGTATCGCCAGGCCGTCCTCACCCTTCCATAGTCCCATCAGCACGATACATCTTACTAGCATCACCCAGTAGTGGAAACAGAGGCCAACGTGAAGATCATGTGCATTTCATGAAGTTCGTGAATTGAGCCGGATGCCGGATTTTTCATGCTTTGATTATCAAGCCGAAATACACGCCTGGATGGCAGGCCACTTTTGGGGTCCTGTCCTCCTATGATATCCACCGCTCATGCAGCATCTTCCGTATCAAATCATGCCCATCTGCGCCCAGCCGTAACCGAAGGAAAGCCTAGAACTGTAAGGGAGTGAAGAACCACCTGTTCTTTCCGGACTGGTATCGCTCCTCGAAGGCCTTCTTGACGGTCTTCTTGGCCTCCTCCCGTTGCGAGACCTCCTTGAATGTGTCGGCGGAAACGACGCCCTTGAGGTTCTCGAGCTCGATGGTGTACCGGGTGGGCATGATGTGGGTGTCTGCGTCTATCAGCGTCTGCCCAGGAATTGCGTCCTCATGTCCACATACAGTTGACCTGCTTGACGAAAGGCTTGACCTTGCTCTTCTTGGCCTGCTTGGTCTTTGACATGCGGCGGGTGACCTTGGATGGGTAGGTCTCGATACCGGCAACGAGCGCGTGGGGGAAGGGGTGGCTCTTGGTGCCGTTGTCAAGTGGTGAGATGATCACACACTTCTTTCCGGCATAGCGGCCCCTGGTGATGATCTAGGCGGACTGTGAGTGCATGCGAGGGAGCTGGATCGAGCGATTTCAACGTACGACAACGCGTCCGACCTTGAGGCTGGAGGATGTGTTAGCAGCTGCTCTGTCGCATGTTGTGGATTTTCAAGGGTGCAGCAAATGGCGGCTCCGGGCACAGGATAACGCATCGCGGGCGCCAATTTGCATCGCAGGGAGATTCGTGGGTATTGGGGCACTCACAACTTCATTTTGGCTGTTGTCCGGGTTAGTGATGGGTACTTGGTCGCGGTTCGAGGTTGAGGAAAATGGGTGCAATATTCGCTTCCTCGTTGTGTCCGGCGCCGCCACGCTAACGTCTTTGGGGCTGGCGGGCCCCGCCCATGCCTAGAAATCCTCAAGACCCGCCAAAACTTCGCGGCGGCGACTGTCGAGAGCTGGACAACCACGAAAATGAAGATCAAGGCCCTCAGCCGGTCCACGGCCTCTACACAGGCACCCGGCTCCAATGTCGCCAAAGTCACGAGGAATCTGGACCCCAACCTCCATCCGTTCGAACGCGCGCGCGAATACACCAGAGCCCTGAATGCGACAAAAGTTGAGCGCATGTTTGCGCAGCCCTTCCTTGGCGATTTCGAGCCTGGCCATGTAGACGGCGTGTACTCGTTCGCAAAAGACCCCAATTCGCTCGAGCACTTTGCCAGTGGAAGTGGAGACGGCATCGTCAAAGTCTGGGACTTTACAAGCAGGGAGGAGAAATGGCAGGCGCAGGCGCATGAAAACCTGGTCAAGGGCATGTGCTGGACGCGAGACAAGAAACTGATAACGTGCGGATCAGACCGCCAGATCCAGCTGTTCGAACCATATGCACAGCCATCCAAATCGCCGCCGAAAGCGACATGGCACGGCAACTCGGCCTTCACATCCGTCTCGCACCACCGCTCGCTGCCTACCTTCGCTGCTGGATCTAGTGTCATTTCTATATACGATACATCAAGGACGTCCGGAGCTCCTGTCTCAAGCCTCGTGTGGCCATCGGTAGGTCGCGATGCCCGGTGAATTCAACGCATGTACTGACTGTGTGACAGGCCATTGATACCATCACCGACGTCAAGTTCAACCAGGTCGAAACATCGATACTGGCATCGTGCGCAACTGATCGCGCTGTCATTCTTTACGACGCCCGAACGAATTCTCCTCTACACCGCACTGTGCTCAACTTCCCAGCAAATTGCATCTCCTGGAATCCTATGGAGGCCTACAACTTCGCTGTCGCGTCCGAAGACCACAACGGATACATCTTCGATATGCGCAACATGAAACGGGCACTGCAAGTATTGGTAAGCTTTCCATCATCACGTCATGACTACGACCAGCTACTAACAACAAACAGAAAGGACATGTTGCGGCAGTCATGTCGATTGAGTTCTCTCCCACTGGAGAAGAGCTCATCACGGGCTCTTACGACCGATCCGTAAGACTCTGGGAGCGACAAAAGGGCCATTCCCGGGATGTCTACCACACCAAGCGGATGCAGCGCGTCTTCTCCGTCGCGTGGAGTCCCGACAACAACTACGTACTAAGCGGCTCAGACGACGGTAACGTCCGTTTGTGGAGAGCGAGAGCTTCCGAGAGACAGGGCGTCAAGTCATTCGCTCTACGACAGAAGCTCGAGTATGACGCAGCGCTCAAGGAGCGATACAAGCATATGCCAGAGATTAAGCGTATCGAGAGACATAGACATCTGCCCAAGACTGTCAAGAAGGCTGGCGAGATCAAGAATGAGGAGCTGAAGGCCCTCAAGAGGAAGGAAGAGAACGAGAGAAGGCACACAAAGAAGGGCACAGTCCGAAGGAAGGCAGAGCGTGAGAAGATGATCTTGGCAAGAGAGCAATGATGTGTCAAAAGGAGGAGGTTAGTATATTTTCTGCATAGCGATGGCGTTCTTGGTATTCAAGTTGAGGACCTGGTATACCGCACGGCACACCTGAGGGTGTATATGGTAGTTCGAAAGATACGAGGCATGCCGACTCTGTCAGGTTGTCTCTCCAAGAACAATTATTTGCTTTCGAACTGAAGCTTTTTGACATCTGATCCACGTGATATCGCGTAATTGCGTCATACCTCGGTCTTGCGTACACCTCAACATGTAACCCGCAGTACGGAAGGGCGTGGAAAGTGACATTTGCCTTACACCGTACAACTTGCCAAAGTATACCAATTACTGACCCCATTTACCTCTCATCTCGATACTCTGGTCTCTAGCAACACCTTCTCGATTTAAACGTATTACGTCGCAGCCATGACATCTGTATCTGCCCTCAAGATCCAAGACACCAAGCTAAGCAGCCTCGGCCTCTCAAAGTCGATTGTAAATAAGGAGAAAGTCTGCTGTTATACGCGTTCTCTAGAAAACGCAGACGACAGGAATCCCATACTTGTTCTGATCCATGGCTACCCGCAGTCAGCTTACATGTGATTGCTCCTTTCTACTCTCTATACCTCCACCGTGTAGACTGACACGAGACCAGGTGGCGACATTTAATCCCCCAGCTTCCATCACAGGCACCACTCTTCGTTCCGGACCTGCCCGGTTATGGCGCTAGTCCACCAATCGAGCGGAACGATAAATTGAGTGTTGGAACGGCAGTACTCGAGGCGCTGAAGACAGAGGTCAAGAAGAGTAAGAGTAAAGACGGGGACATGAAGATTGTGCTTGTCGGGCACGATCGTGGAGCGAGAGTTGCGCACCGCCTTACCGTCAGCGGGGTAGACGGACTGGACATCCTTGGTGTTTGTCTAATAGATATCGTATGATGCAACCCTATGCATTGTTTGAGATTTCGAGATACTGACCATACCAGGTCCCGACTTCGACACAATGGCAACATTTTGCCTCCCCAGCTACTGCGGCGAAGGAGGTTACGGGGTATTTCCACTGGCCGTTGCTCGCAAACGTGGATTTGGCGACACGTATGATCACCGCTTTTGGGCCATCCAACTGGTGTCAGGAAATGATCTTGCTTTGGTCGGGCAAAAGCAACACGGGTGTCGAGAAGCTAAAGGCTGATGAAGCACTGACTGTATATGGCGAGTTCTTCGCACAGGAACATACGCTGAAAGCAAGCTGTGAAGACTATAAGGAGGGCGCTACGACGGATGTCAAGGAACAGGAGAAAGATCAGAAAGAGGGAAGGAAGATTGGAGTCCCGGTGTTGTTGCTGTATAGTGAGGCGGGCATTGGTAGTAGATTCAACTTTCCAGATGTGTGGAGGGAGTGGGTTGGTGAGGGCGTAAGGATCGAGAATCATGGGCTAGGGGACGGAGTTGGACACTTTGGGGCTGAAGAAGCGCCTGATGAGTGCGCGGAGGCTATTGTAAGCTGGCTTGGAACAGTGGTTCGATAGATTTTAGGTACTCGAGCCACATAAGCTTGTATTCCGCTGCATGTAAACTCAACCTCGGAAGACCTCTGTAATGGAGGCACTTTGAAAGCGTCAACTCGATTGAATGCATAGGGGTGTATATGCTAGCGCGTCATGGCCCCATAAGCCTTGTGTTGCATATCGACATCTGCTCTTTCTCAATGCTGCTACCACTAGTTGAAGGTTGCAAACCCCAATGCAGCCCAATACTTGCGATAAGCCCATAAGCATTAAGCTATGCAGTTGAGTTTACAAGGAGAACGTTGATTTGGTAGACAAAATCTCGAGCGTGGCTATGAGCAAGCAATAGAAGTATTTGCCAGACCACTATTTGAAAGTGAGAAGGATAGTGACCAGGAGTTCAGCGCCGGCAAATCTATGAGCGTCAGTATATACCACGCGCATGAAGGTACTCTGCCAAACGTTATGCCATGCCTGCGAGAGTTATGAGTACGATTGCCTCGAGCGTCGAGTCCAATGGCCCCATCATTGAACCTTGCTGCGTGAATGCCATCGAGCGAAAGCTAACATAGAAGCTCGGTTGAGAGCAAGTTTGGTCCTCCGAGTCAAAACGAAAAGTGTCTTAGAAGGCTCCTCGCACTGCTAACCTGGAGACTGGCATGTGTTTTGAATACAGATCGTTACGGCGTGGACAAAGACAGACATTGCATTGATAGAACACCATGTCCTGTTGGTGAGTATCCGCAATGCCAACAACGATAAGCAAGTACCATGCTAGAAATCTCATCCTCCAGGGCTTGCATCGTGGGATATCTCCATGTAATTTCCGTTGCCACAAGCTTTGCAGCTACAGCAAGGTGTGATCCTTTGAACGGCGTACAGTGGGATGCCTCCAGTGCTGACACAATGAGATTATGTGCATCGACCTCTTGCCTTCTGACTTGTCAGTACCGTAACGGTATTGAAGTGATAAAGGGCTTGTGTAGTGAGATGTTGTGGGGAAGGAATTGCTCTTGACGGTCCATGGAGAGCCGCCCCCTTGCCGCCTTGGCAGCTTCTTCGCGTACGCCCGGCAGGTGGACGCTACCACCTTCCTACTCCTGCACGCCAGGCATCAAATCAGCTCAACAGACTCATTACACAGATAAACGGACTAACTGTATCCAACGGTCGCAACAGTATGACTGCATAAAAGCGATACAATCACCGAAAGACATTTCCGCCACTACGGCACCCTGGTGCGCCAGTCCGCATTCTTTACTCCAGATCATCAAATGAGCGATATGGTACGGCAGCGACACGGTTATACCATGGGCTGAAGTCCGTGATCCGTTTACCGACATTTGCAGTGCAGCAAAGGTACCGTCTGGCCCACGGTCGGCACCTGTCAGATGCTTTGTGAGGCTTAATCCAATACATAGAGCGACACGCATGTCTTGTGCCCAGTATCTCACGAGGTCTTCTTCTCTTCGTTCTACACTCCCCATCTGAGCGTCAGCGCAAGTGGTCGGCCATTATGCTTTTTTCTACTGTTGCAGCTTGGCTGTTGTGTGTCGTTCATAGCTCATCTGCGTGCAAAACAGACGATCTGAAGCTCGCAGTATCTACATTAAACCTGCGCCTATCCGAAGCTGCCACCATTACCTTCCCATGGGATACCCGTTGGAACGATCTCCAAGTCCGTGGCTCTTCTCCACGCATATCTCCCGACTACAACGTGGTGGTTGAGGTAGCGACAGAGTCCGACGTGCAAACAACGGTCGCATTGGCCAGTCGTCTCAACATCCCGTTTTTGGCCGTGACAGGGGGCCATGGATGGACCAAAACGCTCAATAAGCTGCCCTATGGTATTCAGATTAACATGCGGAAGCTGAACACTACGACACTCAGTCAAAATGGAAAAACTGCGATGGTTGGAGGCGGAACTATGCAACACGAAATCACTCGCTCGTTGTTCGCCTTGGGCAAGTATGCAGGTGAGATCACGCCTATATCTGCAGACGTACACATACTGATCGTTCTCGTTGCCAGTTACTGGGCTTTCGGCATGTGTGTCGGTTGCGGGCCCATTGTTAGGCGGCGGTCACAGTCTGCTCCAGAACCAACATGGCTACTCCCTAGACGGTCTTGTTTCTGCGCGCGTAGTTCTAGCCAGCGGAAAAGTTGTAGAAGCCTCTCGGACAACAAATGCCGACTTGTTCTGGGCCCTGCAAGGAGCAGGACATAATTTTGGTATTGTGACCAGCCTTGAGGTCCAGACCTACGATATCCCTTCCAACTGGACTGTCTACTCACTCGTTTTCACGACCGACAAGGTTGAGGCGCTCTTCCAGCTGATCAACGAGTTTGAAGAGCCGGCTATGAAACGTCCCGCGAAGCTAGCGCTTACAGGAGTGTTCGTGAGGATACCTGCTGTCGATCCCATCAATGTAAGACGGTCCCACGTCATAGTGCCAGATGCTGACTCTCCACTAGCCAGTTGTCGCATACAATATAATATACGAGGGCACGGAAGCGGAAGCTGAACCATACGCCTTACGTTTCAAAGCGCTCGGTCCAGTATCAACCACAGTATCGACGGACGTCGACTACGTAGAGCTTTATACGGTGACTGGAAACAATCTTCAAAGCCAAGCTTGTACGAGGAACGAGAATATTGCAGGAGCCGGCGTCTCGCTACCTGCTTGGGATCTTGAAGGTGTCCGTAAAGCATTCACAATATTCGGTAACATCACAGCGGATCCCCGCTTTAATACTTCCATTACCTTGCTGGAGAACTACGGCATGCAAGGTGTACGGGCTGTTGAAGCAGCTTCCACGGCAATGCCACCCGAGGAACGTGAGTATCCAATCCTCGCGTCTCCAGTGCTGTGGTGGGCTGGCGATGATGCGCAGACGACCAAAGACGCCTATGCATATACACGTGCGATGCGCAATGCGCTGTTTACGGGCCTTGACAAGAGCAACAAAAAACGACACTGCTATGTGAATTACGCTAGTGGGGAGGAGAGTAAGCCCGAGATGTATGGATACGATGATAGGCTTACGAAGTTAGCCAAGCTGAAGAATGAGTGGGATCCAGAGAACAGGTTCGGGTTTTATAACCCGATAGTGTAGACATAAAAGATGTCACGATATCAGAAGATGAGGTGGTTCGAATCAGACTGCTATTAGACAAAATGCAAGCATGGCCAATGATGGTGCAGGGAGTATCTCGCATCGCGCACCAGTGTCAAATCGAAGCGCCAAACTTCAGCCAGGAGTAAGTCATGTAATTCTCCTTTGCCAAAGCCAACCCAAAAGTATCGCGAGACTACTACATAAGCCACTTCCAGACGGTGTCGTTCTCCTCGGCTGCAACGCTGCCCTCCGGGCCCCAGTTGACGTCCTTTGGCTTAGGCGCCCACAGTCTTGCACACTCCTCCAGATGCTTCGCAACAGCATCTTCAGTCAGCTCCACCCCTGACTTTACCACCTGTCCCTCCTCGCCCCCTGATACCTCCTCTGACACCTCCCCTTCCATCCCCTCTCGAGCAGGCAGAGCGAAGGTCCTCGCAGCATTGTGGAGCTGCTCTACAGACAGGTATGAGGTTTTGTCGACCTCAACGCGCGCTAAGCCCCTGGTGGTGAAAATCTTGGCCTCAGGCCCAAAGTCGTCCGAAGTGTCTTGGTCGGTGATCTTCCAAACAGTAACCTCTTTTTCAGAGGCGTTCTGGTCGATTTCTTCAACGGTGTGCTTGCTAGCAGTGACCGTGAGGTGTGCGTGTAGTGATTCACGGGTTTTTTTGCTCACCCGAAACGGTTTCGGCGTTGTTGAACAAACCGCCTTCGACGCAGGATTGGCCCACACCAAGGTACTCTGCTTCTTCTGCCATATACAGCCTGGCTAGTCGCTCAGGCTTACTGCATACGATGTGGAGGCGGCTTGTGGCTGGTAGTGCGTCGCCCAGTACACCCCAGATGTCGGTCCATGTGATGTTTAGGGAGGCGGACTTTGACGGTCTGATGACGATCTCTAGGATCGTGTTCTCGGGATCTACGGCCAGATCCTCCCAGTCTTCTAGGCCCCAGATGGGGATTTTTTGGAGAGAAAAGGATAGCGCTGTGGCCCGCGCTTCTTTTGAGGTGGTGAGAAGGGCGGATGGTGGTGAAATGCTTGTGACCTGGTATTCATCTTCGTCGAATTCGACGGTTGCTGTTGTGGGCTTGCTCGCTTGCCAGACGAGATTGCGGAGCTCCATGGGGAGCCTGGAGAATGGTGTAAAGGTAGACATCCTTGTGTTGATGGTTTGTTTAGGTTTTGTCAGGGTTCTGGTAATGCTGGTACTTGAAGAGAGTGTAGACAAGTATTGCGAAGTGGTATGAGAGTGAAGTGTTGATTAGAAGGAAGGAAGCGTAGATTTCTCTCTTATATGGCACTCGAGCGAGCTAACTACAGTACCGTAATACACAAGCTTGAACAGTCATAAAGTGGGAAGAAGGTCTTTGCTGCGCTTCAGCTGCCCCATAACACGCACTTTCCCATGTTCGCAGCACACTGTACCAAAGAACGAGACCCAAAGTCCAAACCGGATGTATTCGCCGCACCATAGAGAATTTCGAAGATGCGATTCCACGGCGAAGACCTCTAGGCTACAATACAAGATCCACGTTCCTGGATGGGGGGAAAATATACTATGGCACCGGGATGTAGAGGTTATTATTCAGCACGCGTATATTGGCTGTGTTCTGAGCTGCGTCTATTTATTGTTACGTGATTGCGGCTTCTACCACGGTATGGTGTGGAGTTCTCTGCATGAACTTGTAGCTTGTACAAACTTCTTCACGATAACAGCCCAGCTCTGCGACCACTCGGGATTCTTGTATTGCACCCGAAAGCATCGTTCGCTTTGCGACCCCCGAAGCTTGCCCGTTCGCCCAGAGTTTACCCGGCTGCCGGTTAGCGAGTTCATATTCACTGTGCCCACGCCTTGTCTTTACCGATCTACACCACCCTGCCCTTTCTTCCATGCGGTTATATCTTGCACCCTCTCTACCCGCATGCCATAGCTCTTCGCACGTTCAAATATTGAATCATCCACCTCGAAGACTTGTCGCCATTCTTTTTAATCGTTTTCACAGGCATACTCAGCGTCATTCGCATCCGGATGTTCATATAGGTGATCGTATGCATCGTCCCACAGCTGAACAAGCTTCAAACCTGGTTGTCCAGAGCATTCATGATACTGATCTAGCAGTTGGACCAGTGTGTAATGAGTTCGCAGCATTTCCCAAATCCCACAACGTTGTCGTTCTGGATACACTAACCTGGCATAGACAGTTCAGGCTCTCCCCGCTGTGATGTGTGTACTACCTAGGTAGTAAATTCCTCGGTCATTACACCACGTATTGTCCTACACCTTGGAAGGTACTCGTTCTTGACTCAAAGTGCATGATATCGTCCAGTGATAATGCCAGTTCTACCTAGGTACTCATCATATTCGCACCTTGTTCATTGCATATTCTCTCCGCACCCCCGATCTCTGGTAAGGACACAGAATCGACCTTTGGGATACTGTTTTCCTCTCTTTTACAGCAACATCCCTTACCGACATCAAAGGGATCTCTGCATTCGACCACCTTGTGGGTCTGCGGCTGTTAGAGCGGGTGTCTATTGGTTACAAGTCTTGGGCAAGGCCGCTAATCAGATCAGCCCCACTAGCCGCAGGCAACCATCAGCCTAGACCTGATGCTACAAACTCCAGACTGCGGTACATAAACTCATCATGTCCTTCAGACGACTCTTATCCACGATAAATCCTGAGCGATAACCCTGTGCAGCTCTCACAATGATGTCTAGTCCTATCTCACTACCCTCCAACTTCCAGCCTCAAAGCCCACTCTTTGACGTCCTACCAGGCGAGATCCGTAATAACATATTCGAGTTGGCACTCATGCAGTATGAAGACGACGCAGCAGCATATCCGGAAGACTCGTACTGGTACAGGCCAGGCTTCTCAGGACCGCTCAAGGGTAGTAGTGCGCTTTTGCGCACGTGCAGATTGGCGTACGCGGAAGGCCAGAAGGTGTTTCTGAGAGAATTGGAGTACGCATTCTGGTTTAGTATGCTGTTTCTTTCTATTATCGGATGCCAAAACTGACATTCATGGTACAGACCGCGGACCCAGTGGCCGCACATGCACCCCGGCGTGCGAGAGATTCTTCAGAGACCTGACTCCACAGGCGGCGCAGTCGCTTCAGAAAGTACGTTTCTTCACGCAAATGTTCTGGCTCGAAGACGGGCCACAGCTATTCTATCTCTTTTCAGTACCGCAGTTCCGGCCCACTCAGCTTACTATCACCATCCGATACTCAGACTGGTGGTTCTGGGAAGACAATGAACCACTCCGTATGAATGAAGGATGGCTGCGCTATTTCGAAGGAAATCCAGGCCTCCGCGTACTCAAGGTTGAGTACGAAACACTCAGTTGGAAGAAAGCAGAGATGATGCGCATAGTCGAACGAAACAAGAAATGGAAGCTTCCCGTGAGAAGGGAAGGCGAAATGTTTCAAGCAAACAAGCTGGAAGGATACCTTAGTGCCGAAAATACGGCACTAGAGGAATGGAAATGGAAGGGCACAAGCAAGCTAGGTGGAGAAACATGGAGCCATCATGGTACTGGGGACAAAGTCGAGTACATCGTCGTGACGGATACCTGGAAGTTTGTGGAAGGCGTGTTGAGCGACAAAGAGATGGAGGGCCGACTGGATCCGACTATGAGCGTATGGAAACCGAGACGAGGTAAGGCATCGACCCGTCGGAACGTAGACGTATGGGGTGCGAGACTTCGTGAGAGAAGAACTACAAATGATTCAGCTTAGCAGAGGTCGTGTTTCTCAGTACTGTACGTTGCATTTGCCGCTCTTTTCTTTAGATGTGGTAAAGACTGATACAATATCATTTGACGCATACATGTTATTGACCATCCATAATCGATGAGATATACTGGCCAGGACTCAATGACTCCTAAGCTCGAGGCCAAACCCATCGATATGCCTCAGCGTTTGAAGATCCTTAGTTCCAGCTTTTCCGGTTGTCTCACGTGCAGCAGCAGCGGATCCGCACACGAGTCCTTTAGAATGTCCATCACCTTCTGCCTGGCCGTATTTACTTCCTCGTCTTCCCCACACACTGTCTCCACTCTGGTTCCTTTCAAAACGGTACTCAGTACACTGCAAAACTCCACTTGACTAAATTTCATTCCAGGACATATCCTCGACCCAGTACCCCAAGCGACGAAACCGCTACCACCCGTTGCGTGCTTCAGTTCTTCTGCAGCTAGAGTCGCTGGAAGAGCTTTTTTGGTGGTCTCAGAGAGGTGTGGTTGAATCCAGCGCTTCGGGTTCCACGTGATTGGATCAGGGAAATTTGTAAATGAGGTTTGGCAGGCCCAAGAGTTAAGCATGATTTGAGTGTTAGCAGGTAGATTTGTAGACTCGGTACCTTCCTCGGTGCTGGTATGTGTCATTGGAACGGCAGGCTGAGAGTTAGCTGGAAAAGGTGACCGAGGAAGAGGTGGTGAAGGGCCGTAGAGACGTAGCGTTTCGTACTTGCAGCATCATTAGCATTCAACTATACGTGGAGGGTTTGGAATAGCAAGAGCGACCAACAAATCAAGACGTACCATGACAGCCATGACCCTCTTCAACCGCGGAAACACTCTGACATACTCCATCTCGCTATTTACATTGTCACTCAGTACTTCGTCCAACTCTTCCACCACCCAGTCCTGAATATCAGGATGCACAGCCAGTAAAGCTATCGCATACGAAAGAGTGATGGACGTAGACTCCAGACCACCGACCAAGAAGATGAAGATATTGCCTCTAAGCTCAGTATCTGAGAGTCTGGCTTTTGATGCTCTACTTTCAGTCTTGACTTGGCCACTAGCTTCAATAAGTGTGCTGATAAGAGCAGATACTCTAGTCTGCCCGCTCGTCATCGCTTCTCGCTCTGTTACTATGATTTCATTCATGTATTGTCGGAACTCGTGCATAGCTTGTAAAAGATCTTTGACATCGCTCGGCAGTAGCGACTGGAGTATTGGAAACTGTAAGAAGGGCAGAATACCCTCCATAGTTGGAGAGATCGAGGTACTCATGACTGTCACCAGCGTGTCGCGGAGTGACAATGCGTGACCCGGTGTTGGTTTGTTGACTTCGGTGTTCTCGAAAGCGACTGAAGAGATGACATTTAGTGCCAAAGTACTGGTATCCTTGATCATGCTTTTCCATTTGCCATCTGATGACGAGAGCCATTGCTCTATCATGATCTTCGACTGTCGCATTGACTCGCTCCATACAGTGGCGGAGGCTCGCTCGTTGAAGCATGGCGCTGTGAGTTTGCGATGGCGAATCCAGTCGTCACCGTTTGACTTTGCACGTCAGTTCACACTAACGCCTACATGAATACAACAACAAAAATTGCTGATGTAGGGAGGTTAAGGTGCATACCGTATCCACATTTTGTCCAAAAGTGCCCAGAATCTCTATAGCTGATAATAAGTCTCTTGATCAACTTCTATCTCTCATATGTTGTACTGCTCACCATTAACGTTATCAGGCTTCACAAACTCCCTCCACTTCTTGAGCACATGTTCAATTGTCTTCGGATCACTGGTACATAGTACGTTATGCCCTGGCGCCACGATAATGAAGCAGAGACCTAGCTCTTGATGTAAACTGACATTGTCTTGCCAACAGCATGTCCAGTCGATGGCACGAAACCATCGATACTGTTGCAAATACGACCCGCAAAGGCTGGTGAGTAGTCGCCATTGAAGGGTATATGGGGTGATTGGGCTGATTATGATGCGTAAGCCAGTCTTGCGTGCGGAGAGGTAGTTGCGAGATAGTTGGTAGAAAGGGGTTACGACGAAGAAATGTGTAAAGACAAGACAGAGTATCGATGTGATGATCATTGCTCGATGATGCAGAGTCGATGACTATAATTACGAGCCTGCTAATGGAGCTGAGAGAGCACAGGAGTTCTACTCTATAGACGGAGGCGCGGAGGCGCACATTATGCGGGGCTGCCCGTGTTTCGTGCTTATCGAAGTAGGCGCAACTCGATGTTTGTCGAATGAGGGCCCGAATAGTCGAAACTCCCGCAGACATCACATACAGGAAAACTCAAGACTCGTCATTCTGTTACTATCACGTTCTCATGTTGAAGGATGGACGGACTGGATTCGCCACTCGCAGAATAATATGACCAAACATTTAGAGGCAACAGTAAGTGATAGAGGCATGACACGCTGTGCGCACTGCCAGATTAACCATGCGAGTAAACTCACTGCACGTGATGCCAGCCGTCTACATGTTTACAACATCCACGAGCAAGGTTGCCGCTGCATAGTTCCTGCAACATCTGACACGAGCAAGCTGCGCATGCACGCCTCTGCAATGCAGGCAAAGCACATACCGAACGTGTCAAATCTGCAGAGCCGACCCGCGACGCACGTAAATTACTCGACAGGAGGGATACACCCGTCCTGCTTTCGAACATGACATCGTCTAGTTTGCAACATCGAGTGTTTGATCTGCAACACATGTTCGCAGGAGATTGCGGACGAGGAGTGTGTTGGTTTACCGTAGTAGAAACACTGAGAACTTGTGTGTTTCAGGCTTTAGCCAGGCTTGTTTCATGGATCTGGTACAGTGATTCGGAGTGTGCTGGGGCGAAGCAATAGCCGGCCGTATAGAATGATGATGTTGCAATGAGACACGTAATGCAAGCCGAGGTTATCGGAGAATGCTACATTCCGCGAATTGGAACGAAGCTGCCAACGGTGATGTTGTTTTCCAAAATCACTACATCTCGTTGATGTCAACAAAGGAAAGCCTTGGGACCCAATGTGTGGATACGCACTTCCTGCGTGTACGTTTGGGGCAGGACAGTCCCTACGCGTGGGGAAAGTCGGTGGTCAACATCCGACATTGCCGTCTCTGGTGCGGGGTCAATGGGCATAGACCTAGTATTGGTGTTCGCAGGGTGTGTAGACGTAAATTTACATGCGTGCTCGATGGTAGCATGGCGCTATGCCATCTGGTACCGTGGTTCGCATAATGCGAACCCAGCCACAAGCAGGCGCAAGTCTCAAACAACTTCAACGTGACCAAATGAACTACGACCGTTGACTGCGACACGATCAAAGCGCGACTTATCTCGGCCCGCAATGCATGCAGAGATTTTCACAACGGATCAGCCCATGTTTTCCAGCCACCCCGGCGTATCCCGGGATGGCTGGTCGAGCACGTTCTTTTCGGTGTATTCGGATAGCGATGGAGAAGCTCGAGGATCTTGCGAGTGGTCCACCGTTGACGCGTATCTAACCTCTAGTAACGCTTAGGCGTGAAGTAGTCTGGGCCTGGGCGTCATAGCCCGTTGAATTTGGTGCGTAGTCCGCTCGCATAGCGACGGATTAGAGGTTCGGCCAAAAGCAACTCGGCTTGAGTTTTTTTTCTTTGCTCGGATACGACAACACGACCTGCTAGTCTTGATTACCTATCAGAATACGCTAGGCGACTCAAGGACTCTGAGGAAACGAGGATGTGCTGAAAACCGCGCCAGTCTTTCTCTCAGAGACCCTCGGACGCGATCTGTAGAATACCGTCATATTGCCGATGCTGCTGAGGTATATTGACAATGCTTCTAAGCGAATGTGTTGATTTATCCAGCCGCCCGCTGCCAAGGTCGCGGGTGATATTGTTTGCTTTCTTTAGCGAGCTGGCCATGGTATTGAGAAGACACAGTAGATGGCGTGTTTTTGGTAGATAGCGCAATAGCGCGTGCACCCGTTATCTGTTCGCCTGTTGCCCGGCGAAAGTGCATCTTTGGATAAACAAGATGAAAACTATGGCGCATCGATATTGAGACCGGCCATGCGAATGTGCATACAGCCGCTTCCGCAGTGTTATACCGGGACGTTATGTGTCCGTACAGCTGGGTTTGACGGTCAATGCACGAAGGACGCCGCGGTAGGTTGAATGCACCCGTGGGAATCCATCGCTGTCTATGCATAGTCGCGCTGAGGCCTTTCTTAGAACGTATGTTCCTCAAATCGAATTATTGATAGTCACGATTCGCTTCATAGCGTGGGGCATACTGTAGTGTACCCTGAATTGTGGCGAGATATACAGTTGACGCACGCAGGTATGTCGTGCGGGCTATACGCCGCCCTAACAACAAGCGACTCTGCTGCTGCGAGATGGCAACCTGCTTTTGGCTACCGTTGAGATGCTGCATGGAGGCGGAAGTCGACAGATTTGCCTACCGTCCACATCCTGACTCGAGTGACGACTTCAACGTGTCGCTGCCGGCATTTTGGATGTACACTGAGCGTGCGGCGCAGTGGGGGAGCACGGCCGCCGTCTACCTCACCCTAGCTCGCCAGCAAGCTTTTAGATTGCTTCCGCCTACCATTGAAGATCCGAGACGTAAGAATAGAAGAGCGGTGAGGCCTTCGCTTGTAGAAGGTGTTTGTTGCCGGCAAAACGGGTAGTCGTCTCAACCGAACAATGAACCCCTCACTTCGATTGTTCATTGTCGAACTTTGTTGAGCATCGAAGAGCATCTGGAGTGTAATCGAAAAGACGCTAGAGAACGTCGCAACAAGCGAGTCGTCCATAGAGCGTGACAAGGGGTGGGGCGAAAACCCATGAAGCCAGACCGGTGAGCGTGTCGACCCACCAATCACAGAGGGACGTCACACCCCACGAGCTGCAAGGAGCGGTCGTGGCTTACTTGCTCCGTCGATACCCCGATAACGGCTCTGCTGTCTCCTGACGTGGCCGGTGGTGATTGGTAGCCCGACGCCTAT